TCTATTTCTATTTTCGATCTTGACGGATTGACAAGTGGAAGGAATTTTCACTCTCTTTAAGAAAATGTTTAAAATAATTAAAATAAGGCTAAGGTTTTCACAGCTTAAATTATACCAAATGACAGAGTTTTAATAATGCCTCTAAGTTTCAATAGGGGTACAGAATGAAGAGGAAAATGCAATGGCAATTTGGAAGAGATGTGGGACTGTAATCACTTGGTTAATGGACTTAGTCCAGAAAGACACTATCTTTGTCTTCCTCTCTTTTTGCTAGAAAAAAAAAAGAAAAATTGAAGAGAAAAATGTGACGTGACGGTATAAAAATAGTGGTACAAGTGGAATTACTATTGTATTAGCTTCCTGTTAATATGAATACAGAAATATGTCGTTGCAATGAGTGGTAAAAATGGAGGTTCTACATTGACACATGTGATAACCATTGTTAGGTCTCTTGGATCGGATGCTCGTTTGAGATTTTTTTTGCTTTGATACCATATTTAGCTCATGTCTATTATAAATCATCGTTAGGTTCCTTCTCTTTTCAATGTAGGATCCTTAATAATATTCAAGATTGAAAACTAGAAATCCGAGATGTCTTTTGGCTTTAAATAGTTAAGTGTATCGACAACAAAAAAAGAAACTAAACCCTAGCCTAAAGTATTCCAAAATAATAAAAGGGACCGAAAATATTCTCTTTGCTAATAAGAATAAAAATGGGAAATTGAGATTTATAACCCCTCCAATCATTCATTTTGGATTTATGACTCCTTTTGAAAAAAAATTAGTTTGTGACCCCTTCATTCTAATTTGGGACCCTTTTCCACTTTTTATGTTTGTAAATTTACCAAAATATCCCTATCCATCAATCTCCCCCTTAACCCTTACAATTTCTTTTTAATTTGAATCTAATATGGAAAAAAATCAGCATTTTAATTTAGGAATCAATTACCAATTTAGAATTAACAACCGAATCCATAAAAAAATCCTCCAATAAATAAATTAGGGTGAAAAAGATTTGCATGATCCAAAAATAAATGCATACGATTTGTGCAGATTTAATTACAAAAAAAAAGGAACCGGGATTGCATAATCCCGGTCCAGGATAGCACATCTTCTAACCCGGTCCGGGATTAAGCAATATCGGTCTGAGTTTGTTCAATCTGTTGGATCGGTATAGCAACCCTAGAGGGGGGGTGAATAAGATTTAATTAACAAAATATAAACTTTTTAATAAACTTTTTGAGATATGAAATTTTAACAAAGTAAGATAAAATAAATTCTAAGGCAAACAAGAGAAATTTAAAGCAAACAATAAAATTCTAAGATTAATTGCAAAAATAAATAAGAGAGAGAGTTAGAGAAATTTGACACCGGGATTTTTTTATAGTGGTTCGGTACAACTGTCCTACTCACTTCCCAAGCACCTCTTGGGTTGTAAATTGAAATTCTGACTCTTTCCACGGTAGGAGTCAAACCGGTACACTACTCTTCACAAGAGCAAAGACGATCCTCTCCACGGTGAGGATCACACCGTTACAATGAGTTGAAGATTTTGAAACACACACTTACAAACTCTCAAATAGAGTAAATATACAAATTTGAGCTCACAAAAATTTTAATCCTCACAACAATAAATTTCTCTCACAAATAAGATGGAAAGAAAAATTGAGAACTTGGAGAGATTAGCAAATGAGAATTTTGAAGTTATGGAGGATTGAGAATAAGAAAATTGTTGTATAATTTTGAATGAGAAGTTTAGTTTAAATAGAGGGAAGAAAATGGTAAAAAATATCCAGTTTAATTTTGAACCATTAGATCTTAATTATTAAAAATGAAGGGTTGAAATAATTTTGAAAAAAAATAAATTAAGAATAATATATATATATGTGTGTGTGTGTGAGAAAAGGAGAAAATTTAAGAATAATGTAATTTAAAAACCTAATTACAAAAATAATGTATATTTAAAAGTAATAACAAAATAAATGTAGTATAAATAAAAAAATTACAAAATTAAGTTATACATTCAAACTATTGACAAAAATAGGTTAGGTGCTAGTCAAAGTCAAAAATCGCATACAATGGATGCGATTTAGGTGCCAACATGACATAGATGAGGTGGACCTCGAAGAATGAGTCAGCAAGGAAATCGCGTACATTTTACGCGACTTTCCATTTATAGAAGTCGCGTACATTGTACGCAATTTCTATTTGTGGCAAGTCACGTACAATGAACGCGATTTTCATTTAAAATATTTATATATTTATTTATGTAATTTTTCATTTATTTTACGAATAAAATATTTTATTTTATTAGTATTTTATTTATTTTCTATTTTCTATACAGTTTTTATTTATTTTACCTATAAAATATAATTTATTTTATTATAAATAAAAGCATACATTCGTCTAGAACATATTTTTTCAATAAATCTTAGATCATACTAAATATTATAATAATTTATATAAAAAGAATCACATGTATGTAAGGGCAACAAACACTTGAAAATAACAAGAAGTTAAAAAGAGAAAATGACCAATGCTGCACAATTCTGACCATTAAAACAATCGACAAAATAATATATATATCATATATAACTCACAGCAACTGCATGCAATTTTCATCCCAACACATGGCATCCTTAAAGCCATGTCACACTGAAGTCGCGGCCAATGACTGCGAGTTTCACAAAATCGCAGTCATTGGCTGCGATATCGGCCTAAAATCGCAGCCATTAAATGCGATTTACCTGAAATCGCATCCAATGGCTGTGATTTTACTACCCTACTTTTGAAAATACTTTCAAATCTATATTATTTGTGTCATTTGTTTTTTAAAAAACATTATTTTAAAAAAATTCCTGTGAGAAAACGGTAAAATTTTCAAAAAATTTTTTTAAACTAACACATGTCAGCATTTAATGCTGGCATGATGTAAAAATTTTTTTTAAAACAAAGTGACCGTTTGTAACTTTTGAGTTTTTTTTAATCTTTTTCTTTTCTTTTTCAATATATATATTTTCAAAAGAAGCTTGTCACTTGTCAGCTTACGAACTGTCCACGTCATCTTCTCAGATATTTTTCATTCCAATTTGTTTCGATCGTAACTTCTCCGTTTGAGCTCCGATTTGGATGATCTAACAGTCGTTGGAATCGTTGTAACGATCTCTATGCTGTGGACACTTTAAAATACAAAAATGTTAATAAATAAAATTAAGTTTGTTATCATCAAAACATTAATTAATTAATTAATTAAAATTAATTAATTTGAGATTAAGGCCAAAAAGCCAACAATCTCCCCCTTTTTGATGATGACAAACTTCCAAAGAAAAATACATAGACAT